ACAAACAAACAAGCATACATACATACACACAAACAAACAAACATACATACATACATACATACATACATACATACATACATACACACACACACACATCATCGCTTTTCCTGGTTCCTTGATTGCTTGCGCTGTGTTCCTCGCTGCAGGAACGTGACACTGCTGGTTTCGGATCTGCAGCATCGGCTGGGCTGGCTATCCGATGCATCTTCAAGGTCGCAGATCGAGTTGTGAGCTGTGTTTTTGCAATCCTATAGATTCCTAGATGCTCGGCAAGGTATGCAGCAAGGCTCAAAGGCTATGTCGACACGCTACATCCTCGACTCAGCACCTTGGCTGGACCAGTTGGTTCTGGCGAGAGAGCCGGGAAGCAGCGCTGCACAAATCCAATCCCAGGCGAGGCCTGCAACAACGCCTCGCTTCGGACGTTACTCGGCAGTCCCATGTTTGCCGGTATGTTTTCAAGTTACTGTTCATACACTGATTAGACACCAATCTGCTTCAGTGTCGCCACGGGTGTACTGTGTATCTGCTTACCAGAATTCAGCTTGCTTTAAGTTAGTTCCGCCTCTGTTTGAGGTATTCCGCCTGCATTTGATTCAATTCTCCGGATACGGGTGCTTTCAAATTGGTTGCCGGATGGACTATGCTCATTGTACCACTGAGGGACGACCTACGCAACGAGATCCTGAGCGAGATGAGTTCGAGGAGGTGCAGCTGTTTACTCATGGCGAAGATTTGCTGTATCTTGTGAGGCCTAGTATCCTGTCCACTTCTCGCAGGCGTGCAGCGACTCTCAACAGCCTAACAACGGCTGCACGGATGCAATTTGCTTATGCCTGCTCTGTTGATCCTGAAGCCGCCCTCAAGATCCACCACTCGCCCCAAGCTTCCGCTCCGGCCCCTAAACCGAAGCCTTGCCGTGAGCCTCCCTTTGGGCCGGCCTCCCGTAGAGGCCTCCCCGCAAGCGCCCCAGCAATGTCAAGGACATTGGCCATCGTATCTCCACACACAATGCCGTGTCTTCGCCTGCATCGTTCAGGATATTCTGCTCAGATACCGTATATACCGTGAAAGCCGAAAAGCAATGCCCGATAAATCTTCACATTCAATCTTCCCAGCAGTCCTTGCTCCCGATTCTCGGCCGTGCAAGGGGAGTTTCGGAGCGTGCGAGGACTCCACACGGGCCGAAAATGCGAAGAGGAGGCAAGGGTATCTAAGAATATCTAAGGGTACGAAATGGTGTGATGTCCCCATCTCCTCTTACAGTGCCATCCTCGCG